TGGACACGTGATACTGTGGTCCCGGGTTCGATCCAGGGCGAGCCGAGAAACATTAAGCAGAGTTTCTTTCACCCTATGCCCCTGTTACCTAGCAGTAAAATAGGTACTTGGGTGTTAGTCAGCTGTCACGGGCTGCTTCCTGGGGGTGGAGGCCTGGTCGAGGACCGGGTCGCGGGGACACTAAAGCCCAGAAATCATCTCATGATAACCTCAAGATAACCTCAAGGCACTTTGTTCATTTGGATACCCAGTATTTATATTATTACACCCTCAGTGACGTAAGTGGATATCAGTAATATATACATTATCTTTGCAGATAAATAGGATAGCCAATTTACGGCTTCTGATATCTGGGCGTTCTTCAGGTATCGTAATTGCGACACAAACGCCGTGACGCCTCATTGAGTAGAGCGTGTCCGGGGCGCTCAGTCATCTATACCTCGTGTTAATGAGCAGGTGTTCAGACAACACCAGGTGTAATGTTACGACCACGCACATATGTTAATTGGTCACACCTGTATGGTCACACCTGTGGGCTCCTGGCTGTGGGGAGGGACACACACCTGTGTTCCTGGTTGAGCGGAGGGACACACACCTGTGTTCCTGGCTGAGGGGAGGGACACACACCTGTGCTCCTGGCTGAGGGGAGGGACACACCTGTGTTCCTGGCTGAGCGGAGGGACACACACCTGTGCTCCTGGCTGAGGGGAGGGACACACACCTGTGCTCCTGGCTGAGGGGAGGGACACACCTGTGCTCCTGGCTGAGGGGAGGGACACACACCTGTGCTCCTGGCTGAGGGGAGGGACACACCTGTGTTCCTGGCTGAGCGGAGGGACACACACCTGTGCTCTTGGCTGAGGGGAGGGACACACACCTGTGCTCCTGGCTGAGGGGAGGGACACACACCTGTGCTCCGGGCTGAGGGGAGGGACACACCTGTGCTCCTGGCTGAGGGGAGGGACACACATGTGCTCCTGGCTGAGGGGAGGGACACACATGTGCTCCTGGCTGAGGGGAGGGACACACATGTGCTCCTGGCTGAGGGGAGGGACACACACCTGTGCTCCTGGCTGAGGGGAGGGACACACACATGTGCTCCTGGCTGAGGGGAGGGACACACACCTGTGCTCCTGGCTGAGGGGAGGGACACACACACCTGTGCTCCTGGCTGAGGGGAGGGACACACATGTGCTCCTGGCTGAGGGGAGGGACACACACCTGTGCTCCTGGCTGAGGGGAGGGACACACACCTGTGCTCCTGGCTGAGGGGAGGGACACACATGTGCTCCTGGCTGAGGGGAGGGACACACACCTGTGCTCCTGGCTGAGGGGAGGGACACACATGTGCTCCTGGCTGAGGGGAGGGACACACACCTGTGCTCCTGGCTGAGGGGAGGGACACACACCTGTGCTCCTGGCTGAGGGGAGGGACACACATGTGCTCCTGGCTGAGGGGAGGGACACACACCTGTGCTCCGGGCTGAGGGGAGGGACACACAACTGTGCTCCAAGCTGAGGGGAGGGACACACACCTGTGCTCCTGGCTGAGGGGAGGGACACACCTGTGCTCCTGGCTGAGGGGAGGGACACACAACTGTGCTCCAAGCTGAGGGGAGGGACACACACCTGTGCTCCTGGCTGAGGGGAGGGACACACCTGTGCTCCTGGCTGAGGGGAGGGACACACACCTGTGCTCCTGGCTGAGGGGAGGGACACACATGTGCTCCAGGCTGAGGGGAGGGACACACACCTGTGCTCCTGGCTGAGAGGCGACCGTAGCCCTAATTAATTAATACACCGAAATTTTGTCATTAATATTCCATGGTATATTGCGAGGCAGTGGTATTCAGTCAGCTCATGACTTTGATGATCAATAGGGCATTTGTATTTACCTAAAACAAACACACACGCACGCACGCACACACACACACACACACACACACACACACACACACACACACACACACACACACACACACACACACACACACACACACACTAACACACTCACATACTCACATACACACTCACACACGCAAGCACACGTCTGCATAAGGAGTCATCCAATATTGTATATGTCATATTAGTTGTGAAATGCGGCGCCAGCTGGAAGTCGTTATCTTGTCAAACACAAAAAGAGGCTGGAGAAAGTTCAGGGATGTGTAATCAGACAAGTCCCAGAGTTAAGAGATATGAATAACGTGGAAAGACTTAACTATTTAGTCTTTCCTCGTGCATACACATAACACGTGGATAGTATGTGCATGTGTACCAATTTCATCTATCTCCCTCCCGTCACTGGAAGGTAGATGAAATAGATAAACATGCGCATACACAAGGAAATCACAGTAACGCGATGTATCTACGAGAAGATCATTGGAGCAGGACCGGGGCTCGAACGAGTGTCCTGGGTAACTAAAGACGCGCGAGATCTCAGGTTATAATATTTATCATTTCGTGGTCCAGGGGGGAGGGGGGTGAAGACGCGCAATTGGAGTTACCAAGGACGCTCCTTCGATTCCCACCCTGCTCGAAAGATTTTCTCAAGGTACACATAATTTTCCCATACAAAATTCTCGGGGAATAGACTCTGCAGATAGTCTATTTGGATTTGGAATTATGTGGAATACATGGTATTCGAACAAAAGGATTCAGGTGAAAATTGCTCAAATGAGCCACAGATACATTATATATAATTTGTATAGTGTCAGTATTAGTTAACAAATAGAATTTACAACGTGGTTGTTAGTGAACAAATAGAATTTACAACGTGGTTCTTAGTGAACAAATAGAATTTACAAAGTGGTTGTTAGTGAACAAATAGAATTTACAACGTGGTTGTTAGTGAACAAATAGAATTTACAACGTGGTTGTTAGTGAACAAATAGAATTTACAAAGTGGTTGTGGGAGTAGTTATAAAATAAGCAGCTTAAAAATGGAGAAAGGGCAAGAGCGCAATAGGCTCGTGAGGAGTTTAGGAGGTTGGACCAGACAGTTGAAACTCAATTCCTGCAAGCACAGTTTGGTTGTGTGCTTTAGCATTGGTCTTTAATCCGCCAGTATCAAGGGGGGACTTACCCAGCAGCGAGAGAACAGCTTGTGATACTAATACACCAAAAAGGGGTTAGACAAGAGGCCCTGAATTACGCACAGCTACCACTTATCATAATTTGTACACATAGTAATCACACTAACGTGATGCATCAATGAGAAAATCCGTAGGAACTGTGATGAGGATTCGAACCTATGCGCTGGGTATTCCCAGGCACACGCCCCAGACAATCAGGCCACGACATGGTAAAAGGATTGCAACCTGGAGTTCTACTGATCATACGAGGGTTCCTGAGGCTTCCACTGAAACTGGACCGAAGTGAATCTTCATCACTGCTCCTTCGGATTTTCTCATTGATGCATCACGTTAGTGTGATTACTCTGTGTATTGAAAAAGGAGCATCAGAGGTAGAACATTTCTAGATGACAGAAGCCAGTGTGCATGGGGCAACCCGTCGTCGACTCAAGTCCATTACATCCAGCGGTCGACCCCACAGACGCATTTATAAATTTATACATGCTGTTCATTCAAGACGGGAATGTTCTCAAATATAAATTAATATTATAATATATTAGCATATTGTGCATATATAGGCATAGGTTAGGTGTTTAGGTTCTGTTGGCGATTATTTGTATTTGTAGTACGTGGGTGAAGCATTTACAGCGTTGTGGTTCGAACAAAATTCGTCAGTGAAGCACTTGTTCCGGATATGTTCGAACGTCAGCAGTTGTGAGTCGTGTGTAAACCGTTTTTCATTCATAAACAGAGGGTTTAGCGGGTGCATGGAATGGACTTTGGGTCTTTGTTTGGAGGACGGGCTGCGGGCTAATTGTCTCGGGCGTGTGCCTGAGAATACCCAGCGCATAGGTTCGAATCCTCATCATGGCTCCTTCGGATTTTCTCATTTATTATTATAATTATTATTATTATTATTGTTGTTGTTGTTATTAGAAGTAGTAGTAGTAGGAGCCTTCAGTCACTAGGTAATCCAAGGAACGAAATGCGACATTACCAATCATATAACACAGCCGGGGTAGGGATGACGACACGACCCCGAGACCGTATAATAATTGTGTTGGGATGGAGGGAAGGGAAAGGAGCCCCAAGGAGCCTTCTCCCTCATGGATAAGAAAAATTTCACATTTTTTCCTCGTATTTTTATTATTATTTGTATCATCATCATCATCATCCTGTGGGAACGATACAGAGTTCCTCTGTTTATTTTGATGATCCTTCCCTCCTTGCTCCATGTCCAACTATGTGATATAAATGCCATGCTTCGTGTTAGTCGGTTTGTTTGCGGTTGCTGGAAGTGTTGCCAGCGCTGATTGATGCTGGCAGTGGCTCGGCGCCCCAACCAATTGGTGGCTTTGTACCGAACTTGCTTCTCCAAGTGCCAATACCTGACAGTCTGTTGAATTTGTAAATTGAAGTTTTTGGCCGGAAACGTTATCCATTAGAGTAAGATCTCTGGAAATTTTTGAATTTCGTTAAGCATTTATTTTTATAATTACCTATGAACTGTGAAAAATATTTACTTTAAGTTTACGTATGTACATTTTGACTTTGTAAAACACTTTATTGATTTTTATCTTTATAGTCCTCTAGAGACAGTTTTGTTATAATTATATTTGCAGTTATTACTCTGTATGTTGTTGATGGCTGATTTATACCTGGTTGATACCTGGTTGCTGGGGTTCTGGAAGTTCTTCTACTCCCCAAGCCCGGCCCGAGGCCAGGCTCGACTTGTGAGAGTTTGGTCCACCAGGCTGTTGCTTGGAGCGGCCCGCAAACCCACATATCCGCCACAGCCCGGTTGGTCCGGCACTCCTTGGAGAAAATGTTGTTGGTATTTTAAATATTAATGTGATAAACTTTTAAATTTATAAACATTTGAGTGTGTAATTAATACTCTCCTTTTTTTCTTTACAGATTCATGGGGATGATTGAATGAGTTGGCGAACAGTAGGGCAGCACTCTCTGCCTCCTGTGACCAGCTCCTTGACATGGTGGGGGGCTTGAGTACTTCCTGGACACACAAGCCACCTCACTGTCTCTTGTGAAGCTGCTCGACAGGCATCTTGCCACACGTTTGTGTATTACAACCTGTATAATTACACGTTTCTCTTGAAGTTTAGTAAGACCCAATTAGGCTGAATTAATCCGCTATATCAAATCTGTCCTGGGTCGAGTGGGTATTGTAAGGTCCCCTATCTGTCCAAAGGTGGCACCCCTATCTGTCCAAAGGTGGCACCCCTATCTGTCGAAGGGTGCCACGAGACCAACCAAGGGTAACTCGCTTATACTTTACTGTTTTGTCTAAGGTTCTTCCCGAGGCTTGTGCGGCCGGCCACCGCACACGAGGCCTCTACTACTCAAAGTTCCTCTAGCGATCGGCCGGTCGAGGGAGCCGGTCGGCCGAGTGGACAGCACACTGGACTTGTGATCCTGTGGTCCCGGGTTCGATCCCGAGCGCTGGCGAGAAACAATGGGCATAGTTTCTTTCACCCTATGCCCCTGTTACCTAGCAGTAAAATAGGTATCTGGGTGTTAGCTGTCACGGGCTGCTTCCTGGGGGTGGAGGCCTGGTCGAGGACCTGGCCGTGGCGACACTAAAGCTCCGAAATCATCTCAAGATAACCTCAAGAAGATAGCGATAAATCCTGTGATTTTGATGAATCTTAAAGCATTGTTCCATTCGGCCGAAACACTTCCTGTTAGGAAACTTTAGTGAGATTGTGAACCTGTCCCTATCGTGTAGCAGGTGAAGGGCCGTTAACAGTTTAAGAAAAATACCACCACTATAGCGCTGCCATTGGCGCATTGAATTGAAATTGAAATAAATTTATTGAGGTAAAATACACACAAAGGAATGAGGTAGCTCAAGCTATTCTCACCCCGTTCAGTACAACGTGTTCATACATATATTGGCACACATCACAAACAATAAACATATTGCCGAACATTCTGAGAGATAAACATGTACAATGTATTAACCATATGCACATGAAATCCATTCTTATAAAAATTTCAGATGGAAAATCAATTAACCGAGTTAATTGAGCCTTTATCTCAGTTTGTGGGCGGAGGCTTCAGTTGAAGAGAGTGCCAAGGTCCAGTGATTAACACAAGTAACTCTCCAGTATCATGCGATCTTCTCACGAGAACTGTTTAAGTATTCAGAAAGAAGCAGTTCAAGAAGAACTAGAGAGCCAGCTGGTTGTGAATACCGCAGCCCATCCTCCTTAAGTGAAAGTACTTATTGTAACTATTTGTACAATAAGTACTTATTGTAACTAGACACATCTGGAGACACAGCAGACACATCTGGAGACACAGCAGACACATCTGGACACACAGCAGACACATCTGGACACACAGCAGACACATCTGGACACACAGCAGACACATCTGGACACAGCAGGCACATCTGGACACACAGCAGACACAGCAGACACATCTGGAGACACAGCAGACACATCTGCACACACAACAGACACATCTGGACACACAGCAGACACATCTGGACACAGCAGGCACATCTGGACACACAGCAGACACATCTGGACACAGCAGACACATCTGGAGACACATCAGACATATCTGGACACAGCAGACAAATCTGGACACAACAGGCACGTCTGGACACACAGCAGACACATCTGGAGACACAGCAGGCACATCTGGACACAGCAGACACATCTGGAGACACATCTGGACACAGCAGACACATCTGGACACAGCAGACATCTGGAGACACAGCAGACACATCTGGACACATCAGGAGACACAGCAGATATCTGGAGACACAGCAGACACATCTGGACACAGCAGACACATCTGGACACATCACGAGACACAGCAGACACATCTGGACACAGCAGACACATCTGGACACATCAGGAGATACAGCAGACACATCTGGACACATCAGGAGACACAGCAGACACATCTGGACAAAGCAGGCACGTCTGGACACAGCAGACACATCTGGACACACAGCAGACACATCAGGACACAGCAGACACATCTGGAGACACAGCAGATACATCTGGACACATCAGACACATCTGGACACAGCAGACACATCTGGACACAGCAGACACATCTGGACACAGCAGACACATCTGGAGACACAGCTAACACATCTGGAGACACAGCAGATACATCTGGACACAGCAGACACATCTGGACACATCAGACACACCAGACACATCAGGACACACCAGACACATCTGGAGACACAGCAGACTCATCTGGAGACACAGCAGACACATCTGGACACAGCAGACACATCTGGACACAGCAGACACATCTGGACACATCTGGAGACACAGCAAACACATCTGGAGACACAGCAGACTCATCTGGAGACACAGCAGCCACATCTGGACACAGCAGACACCTCAGGATGTAACTGGGGCCGGTGAGAGGAAGGGTGAGGCAGACACTTCACAGCGCTAGCCACGCTCCAGGTTCCAGCATGTCACCATCAATGGAAAAACGCTTTATTATCACACGTGGAAAAAACTGTATGGAAAAAATTACATTAAAAAATGCTATAATAAATTACTGTTGAAAACTGATTCATGTCAAATTAAATACAAACTTGAAATACACAGAAACAATTACATTAGTATAATTGGTATTCACCCGGCCTGAATCTTCGCCTCCTCACTAAGTATCTAAAGTCAATAACCAAATGGCAATCAAACTGATTATATTCATAGATATGGATAATTTAATAATTAGATAAGATAGCAAAATAACTGAATGAGAATATAAACGTAATATGAAGACGTAATAAACGCGGCGTATATCATTATGTTGGCCATAACAGTGATGACGATAACTGTGAGATACGCAAATTACGCCGCGTGTGTTGGTCACCTCGTAACGACGCCCACCTCATTAACGCTCTGAATAATTCAGGACCTGTTGCGGGGACCTTTTTTGTTATGGTAACGGCTCTAGGGCTGAGGGGGGTGGACGAGTTCTCTTCTTATATGTGTGTGTGTCTGTTTTGTCTTCCTGACTGCCTTCCTTCCTTCCTTCCTTCCTTCCTTCCTTCCTTCCTTCCTTCCTTCCTTCCTTCCTTCCTTCCTTCCTTCCCTTTCCTTCCTTCCTTCCTTCTTCCCTTCCTTCTTCCCTTCCTTCTTCCCTTCCTTCCTTCCTCCCTTCCTTCCTTCCTTCCTTCCCTTCCCTTCCTTCCTTCCTTCCTTCCTTCCTTCCTTCCTTCCTTCCTTCCTTCCTTCCTTCCTTCCTTCCTTCCTGACTGACTGACTGACTGACTGACTGACTGACTGACTGACTGACTGACTGATTGCCTGCGTTTGTGTGTTTGCCTACTCACGTAGTTTCACTCACCTAAACGTACTTACAGTGTGGAAATTCAGCTGTTAATATAAGAACACAAGAATACACCAAACTGCAGCAGGCATATTGCCCCATGGGAACCCACTCCTATTTATTCCCCACCCAAACGTACTCAAATGTATGTGTAACCTTCGCTTGAAGCAGTCCAGCGGTCCCACTGATCGCTGGAGCGTTAGTTGTTTAGTGCTCTCATTATACTATCGTTTTTGTTGTATTTAGTTATACAACCGAGTATTAACTTAACATAAAAACTTCCTCGTCTATTCCATTACATTAATTTACATCTACTCTTTGCTTGCTCTCATTCTCTTGGGCCTTAGTTTGAACGTTATTTGTTTGTCCAATTGCTGAAGTTCCTTGGAATCTTGATATATCGTTATCATGTCTCCCATGTTTTCTGTCTTCAGTGTGGTGAGCTCCAGTTCCTTCAGTCTTTCCTTGTAGCTCAAGCCTCTAAGTTATAGCAACGAATATTGTTGCATATATTTAAATGTTCTCGTGGATTGTTTTGTGCTTATTTTTTATGTAAGGGCTGAATGTCGAGGCTGCATACTGGTAAGTTAGTCTCCCGTTCGTTGTATACAGCGTTCGAAAGGCTGCTTTGTCGAAGTTCCTGTAGCCTATTTGTAGCTACTACCCGTGGCTTATCTTTAGTGTAACCTGCTACACGTTGTTCGCTTAATATTGTCTAGTTTGAAAGTTTAACTCTTTGGCAATTTTTAAGTAATATTAATATATTTGCATGGCCAGATGACACAATTGTAGGAGCCAATTATTATACTTAAATATTGAATTACTTTAATATTATTTTAGTTTAAAAATTAAACTTTTGCTCTTAACTCATATTAGTAAATTACTCAAGTAAAAATTCATTTCCTTTGTCAGCATGTTAGGGTAGTTAAAAACCATTAGCAGCCAAGGAGAACTAAGACATTATGTGGTTAAATGGCACTGGCTCCTATAGTAATGTTGTCCTTGGCACTGAAATACACCCCCAAGGGTGCCACCCCATCACAACCCGGCACCGCCACCTCCTACGCTCTCTCCGAACTCTTTAATGGATTCTAAATTCCCATGCTCTAATATTCCTAATGCTTGGTTTAGTGTAGGTCTTACGGCCTAGCAACCCCCTCCAAGAGGATTACCACCACACTTGCTTACTGACCAACCAGCTAGTATGGTTTAGTCCCGGACATAGTTCACGACTAAAGTTAACGCTTAGTGTATATACACCAGGAAGCTGGGCACACCTCTGGCTGGATCCGTGTTTTGCTAGTCGAAATATTCTCAACTGTTTTATAATTCTGTGAATTTTTTCTGCTTTTTCCTTGTGGATTTTTGCACTGATGTAATTTAATATTTTTTCTGCACATAATATTCTCTTTCATGCATGTTTGCCTTTTTTTTATTTATTGTCTTAAAAAATATAGGGTAAATAATTAATTTATTTACCCATATTATTCATGGACATATTTGCACCATTTTTATACATGGTCATAACATGTTCTTATTGATTGTATTCAACTCTTTTTCAGTAATAAGTGTAGATAACATAAGTGTATATTAGCCTATGCACACTTAATGCACGGACAGTAATTAGACAGGCGTGTTTTCACAACACAAACAAGGTTTTGCACACACATGTGGCATGACTGGCTGTATAATATAGTAAATGTATAGATATTTCTATACATAGAAATACCAAAGTACAGTACTGTATATATTAAAAGTAATGATGAACACAAGCCCGCACCCAGGAAGGAAAAAGGCCAGTTGTCACAAGGTTGGTGGTGTGCATGACAAGTTCCTATATTCTTTACCTGTGCATGATGGCCGGTTGCCAGATGCTGCCCACGTTATTCTGCTAATGCAAGCATCTGGCCGGCGCGCTGGTAGGCTCTGTACTCACCTTGGTTGTGCCTGCGGGGGTTGAGCTTCGGCTCTTTGGTCCCGCCTCTCAATTGTCAATCAACTGATGTACAGATTCCTGAGCCTACTGTGCTTTATCATATCTACATTTGAAACTGTGTATGGAGTCAGCCTCCACCACATCACTTCCTAGTGCATTCCATTTATTAACTACTCTGACACTGAAAAAGTGCTTTCTAATGTCTTTGTGGCTGATTTGGGTACTCAGCTTCCACCTGTGTCTCCTTGTGCGTGTTCCACCCGTACTAGGGAGGTATGTGTGTGCGTGTATTTATTTACTATTTGTATTTACTACTTGTGCCTGCAGGATCGAGCTGTTAGCTCTTGAACCCCGCCTTTCTAACTGTCGGTTGTCTAATTTTCTGAACCCAGACCTATTTTTCCTCTAGCTCAAACTCAAATTTCTAACAAACTCAAAAACACACACACACACACACACACACACACACACACAAAGTTATGGAAATGGGACTAGGAGATAGGAGACCAAAGGGACAGTACACAATGAAGGGGAACAGCCTACCTGTATCGACGCGTGAAAGAGACCTGGGTGTGGACGTAACACCTAATCTATCTCCTGAGGCACATATAAATAGGATAACGACAGCAGCGTACTCTACACTGGCAAAAGTTAGAACATCATTCAGAAACCTAAGTAAGGAGGCATTTAGGGCGCTTTACACTGCCTACGTGAGGCCAGTCTTAGAGTATGCCGCCTCATCATGGAGTCCCCATCTGAAGAAGCATATAATAAAACTGGAAAAGGTTCAGAGGTTTGCAACGAGACTCGTCCCAGAGCTACGAGGGATGGGGTATGAGGAGCGCCTGAAGGAACTGTGCCTTACGACACTAGAATGAAGAAGGGAGAGGGGGGACATGATAGGAACGTATAAGATACTCAAAGGGATTGACAGAGTGGACATAGACGAAACGTTCACACGGAATAGTAACAGAACGAGGGGACATGGATGGAAGCTTGAAACTCAGATGAGTCACAGAGATGTTAGGAAGTTTTCTTTTAGCGTGAGAGTAGTGGGAAAATGGAATGCACTTCAGGAACAGGTTGTGGAAGCAAATACTATTCATAATTTTAAAACTAGGTATGATAGGGAAATGGGACAGGAGTCATTGCTGTAAACAACCGATGCTCGAAAGGCGGGATCCAAGAGTCAATGCTCGATCCTGCAGACACAACTAGGTGAGTACAACTAGGTGAGTACACACACACACACACACACACACACACACACACACACACACACACACACACACACACACACACACACACACACACACACACACACACGTACACACACACACACACACACACACACACACACACACACACACACACACACACACACACACACACACACACACACACACACACACGTACACACACACGTACACACACACGTACACACACACACGTACACACACACACACACACACGTACACACACACACACACACACACACACACACACACACACACACACACACACACACACACACACACACACACACACACACACACACACACACACACACACACACACACACACACACACACACACACACACACACACACACACACACGTACACACACACACACACACGTACACACACACACACACACACACACACACACACACACACACACACCCACACACACACACACACACACACACACACGTACACACACACTTGTAGAGACATGTTATTGAATGTGACAAAAAGGGTGAGGAGATCAATGAGTCTAGCACAAATCTTCTTTAAGTTTATTATGTTTTCCTCACTTGAGAAGGAAGTTGAAAAATTAAACTCCTAAGTTTATTTTACAATTTTAGTAGGAGCCGGTCGGCCGAGCGAACAGCACGTTGGACTTGTGATCCTGTGGTCCTGGGTTCGATCCCAGGCGCCGGCGAGAAACATTGGGCAGAGTTTCTTTCACCCTATGCCCCTGTTACCTAGCAGTAAAATAGGTACCTGGGTGTTAGTCAGCTGTCACGGGCTGCTTCCTGGAGGTGGAGGGCTGGTCGAGGACCGGGCCGCGGGGACACTAAAGCCCCGAAATCATCTCAAGATAACCTCAAGATAGTATGGCCTGGCGCTAAAAGATGCGAGTCGTTCATTTTTCAAAAGACACAGTAAAAGTTAATACATTAACTAGTGTATAAATAGTGAATAAAATGTATGTCATAAGTGTATTTTTATAAATTTTTAAATATATTATTTTTAACTAGTGCAGAAATAGTGAATAAAAGTGAATACAATGACCCAATCTATCAGTCCGTCCTCTAAAGTTGTCACAACGGACAGAAAACGTGAATATTTTTTATATATGATTTATAGTAGATCCTTATTTGCCAGGTGGATATTTTGACGTGAAAATGCAATGTATTATTCGAGATGAGAATTGATGAAGATTAGGCCACCGAAGAGGTGGCACGGGCATGAATAGCCCGTAATTTATTTGAGTTGTTGTTGTTGTTTTAGATTTAGCTACTCAGAACGAAATGTCCATGTAGCACGGGCTATGGTGAGCCCGTAATTGAGTTTACAGTGGCAGTTTTTGCTAGTGAGTTTGCCTTTTCATTACCATCTATGCTAATGTGACTTGGTATCCAATTTAGTTTTATTCGAGAGTTCAGATTTAATATATATCTGAGAGTGAGGTGAAGTGTCACCTGGGTCAGTAGGCCCACTGCAGCTTACCCATTTCCTGTATTCCAATGTTGACTAGGGCAGTGTGCTGGGTGTTCTGTATTGGTCTCGAAGATGGAACAATGTAACTGTTAGCTGGTTGTTGATAGTTGGGTTACATCAAAGATTCAAGCACGAGTTTAGTCTATATTTCCAGCAAAATAACTCGAAAGTTCAGTTTTAAACTTAAAAGGTCAGACGCGTGTTGCTCAAGTACGCATCTCCTTAAACACGTATTAACATCCTCGGAGAGATCATGAGATGATTTCGGGGAGGTAGAATAAATGTGAATTGATTGTAGAGAGCAGCATATATTGCATGCAGATACGAAGAGAGGATGTTGTTGTTATAGATTCAGCTACTCGGAACAAGTTTCAAGTACCACGGGCTATGGTGAGCCCGTAGTGGACTTACCTGGCACAGGAGCGGTGTTTCTGTAAGAAGAGAGGACAGGTGAGGTCGTTACCGTGTAGACGGGGTCTGGGTAGTCTAGTCCGGAATTCTCGTTGGTCGGTTGGGGGCGTTCAGTCTTTATTGTGAATAATTTGCGACACCAAACCTTGCAAAAACCTTGCGATATCCAGTCTAAACCTTGTACAAAGTATATGTTAAAATTGCAGTATGACTGAACGCTCTTGCAACACATACTGTCTCTGTCCATTGTATTGCCTCTTATTTTGATTGATTATATTGGTTTATATGAATGTTTTGTATTGTAATTAAATGTTTTAATATATAATAATTTTTTTACATTTCAGGTGTAAAAGGTTCCGTCAGGAGTTTCAGAGACATGATGAAATATAAATCATTGAAAAAGAACACACATTAATAGAAAAAATGCACTGCGGAAGTTGTGGTGTACTGGGAAGTGTTGAGTGAATATTGCCTACAGGTGTGTACAGGACGACCAGGTACACTCCAGGTGTGTACAGGACAACCAGGTACACTACAGGTGTGTACAGGACGACCAGGTACACTCCAGGTGTGTACAGGACGACCAGGTACACTCTAGGTGTGTACAGGACGACCAGGTACACTCCAGGTGTGTACAGGACGACCAGGTACACTCTAGGTGTGTACAGGACGACCAGGTACACTCCAGGTGTGTACAGGACGACCAGGTACACTCCAGGTGTGTACAGGACGACCAGGTACACTCCAGGTGTGTACAGGACGACCAGGTACACTCCAGGTGTGTACAGGACGACCAGGTACACTCCAGGTGTGTACAGGACGACCAGGTACACTCCAGGTGTGCGCTACAGCACCAGTATTCTTTGTGAGTACAAGTGACAGAAACATGGCTTGAGAAGTCTTATACATATATTTCGACTATTAACAAATAATATACAAACCTATTTATTAATTCAATAGCCTTGATCGTGTGCGGCCCTCGGGTATTGTTTATCAATTATATGTATTAGTGATAGTGAGAAGAGACTTGTGTTGAGGATGAGACACGCTGAGTTGAGAAGCTGAGTGCAATAAACACAATATTACTGTGTAAAACAATTTAAGTGAACCTCTGCTGTGAATGTTGGAACATTAAAAACTATTGAATAACTTGGAGACTTGGTCTTAAGGCCGCCCTCCGTCTCTGGACACGGCTGAATACGACGCCTGCTCTTTCCTGTTTGTGGCAACAGAGGAGTGGTACATATATTGGCAGCTTACCTCACCTGTGAGCATCACTGTAGCCCAGGCGTGGGGAGGGAGCCGCCGGCAGGTGCAGCAAGGCTAGAGTAAGAGGCGGAGCCCAGCTCGCTCTTGGTCTCCTCCTCTACAACAGGAAGATGGCCTCTCCCTCCAGGATGAGGCTTGGGCCGGGAAAACTCCCAGTAATCCGCAGCAACAGCGACTCTCAGAGGAACATTGCAAAGCAGAATTTCAGAAACTTCTCGTTGAAATGTCGACGTATGGCGTGGGACGAGGTAAGTACACAGTTTATTGTTATTTTTTCTCTCCTTAACCTTAATAGAGCACGACTTTCATATGTAACATTGCATTATTCCCGCCTCTTCGAGAGCTGCTCAGGACCCGTCACGAGCGCCGACACCGGATTTTCACATTTCTTGCCACTTAGTGTCTGGCTGGTAATGTTGGACATCATAATTCCTGGCCTTTTAACATCAGTTTCGACAACGTTTGTCTGATAGTGTTTTAATTTAATAATCTTTCGAGTGAATCACAACAAACATGATAGTGTCTCGTAGTGCAGTTGGTTTAGTTCTCGGTAACTATCCCAGGCTGGTAACTATCCCAGACTGGTAACTATTCCAGACTGGTAGCTATTCCAGACTGGTAGCTATTCCAGACTGGTAGCTATTCCAGACTGGTAACTATCCCAGACTGGTAACTATTCCAGACTGGTAGCTATTCCAGACTGGAAACTATCCCAGGCTGGTAACTATTCCAGACTGGTAGCTATTCCAGACTGGAAACTCTCCCAGACTGGTAGCTATTCCAGACTGGAAACTCTCCCAGACTGGTAACTCTCCCAGACAGGTAACTCTGGTAACTTGCTATGACGTGTATGAGGTCCTCAGGTTGCCCTCAACACCAATTCAATTTCTTTATTATGCACCCCATACCCATCCCGTGGTCGGTGGTGTAAAGGATTACAGAGGCACATAATCGGTTCAGGAACTGAACCCTCTAGTTCTTTTAGCTAAGCAAATAACAATCTTTTGACGCTAGTTGCACAATTATTAATGTTATATATACATGTACACATACTCATACATACATGTACATTCATATACATCTACATATATACATACACATACATATTTAATCACCTTCACAAATACACACATCAATAATCTTTTGCATCACCAGTGATCCAACAAGAGCCGTGGTGTTGTTTAACGTATAATTGATATATATTGTTGCTCGACACCGCAATTGTGGAATTAAACTGTTTTATTGTATTAATGTCAACGCATTATTCCCGATATTAACTATAACATGGTAAATCTCCTGTTAATGTCAATTAACTATTATTGAAATACCGACAACACCGCTTTATATTACCTTTATTTAGGAGAAAAAATTATATATATATATATATATATATATATATATATATATATATATATATATATATATATATATATTGGTGTATACTGGCAGGAGGTTTTCTTTTATACATGTGTCATTGAATATGACAGCATATTCTGTATGAACTATCTTCTATTTAGGGCTTCTATTCCTATCTATTCCTGTAACTAGTGCTCTTGCATCAGGGTTTAATTGGAAGAGGAGTTCTCCAAAAGTCATGTTCGTTTTCGAGGTGAAGAAAAAGAAGTAAATACCTGTAGAATGTAATACACTTATTTTAAAATTGCACAACGTTTTGAACCTACATGGTTCATTCTCAAGTGATAAGACAATTTAATTTTTATGAAGATTAAGCCACCCAAAAGGTGGCACGGGCATGAATAGCCCGTAAGTGGTGGCCCATTTGAGCCATTACCAGTATCAATAGATGATACGGGATATCTGTGGAGGGATAAGACAATACAAAGCGCGTTAGATTTATACGAGTGCGGGGTCAGGTGAAGACAAGTAGATCTATACAAATGGGACAAGATTAAGGAAAAGGTAAGGCGAAAATCGAGGATGAAGCACATACAAAGATTAATCAGGTGTAGTAAGCCTATTATGCTGAGAAGTGTATTCTGTGTTGGCATCTTTACGTTCCGGTCTTGTTCTTATTCTCACGGTGGGTAGAGTGAATAGTTCCGTAATTTGGGCATTTATGATAGGTTGTTCTATTTTTATGTGGATTGCTTCAAGAATTTGTAATCGTCTTACATCTTGGGTTTTGTCTATTATACAGGTGTTTTTATTCAGCATTTCTCTTGTTAGGGTGATGTCATGGGCTTGTCTCATGGGATTTATGGGGGCACCGGATTGAAGATGACAGGTCAAACGCCTCGTCAGCTTGGTCGACGTATGGTCCTATACGTCGGTCATATATGATCCTATATACGTATGGTCCTATACTATATATCCTTCGTATGGGGAGCTTGTGCAGCTAGGAGGCGTTCTTTGTCCTTCCCTGACGCTGCCTCCAGCAATGTTGTGGCGATGTTCTCCACTATGGGACTATCCCAGTTGACCTGTTTGCAGTCGTTTGGAAAAGTTGGTCGAGGTTGATAGTTGGCGAGATTCTCCCACTGGCCGGCTCCGTTTGCGAATTTGGGATCATAAATCTCAATGGAATCTCTTAGATATTTCGGTAGTATTTCATTCACTAATTCATCGGTAGCACTAGTCGTGGATAAGAATGCCGGCAATGCTAACTGTGTCGCCTTGCGAATACTTGTACCCCCGAGTCTAACTGGGAGCGTTGCTTGGTCCCACTGGTCATCTTGCAGGGAGAGGTTTAACACTTTCATGGTTATTGATTTTAGGAGTGCGTCATATTCTGTTAATTTTGGATTGTCGTAGGAAGGAGCACACCTGAGGAAATAGGTAAGTCTGGGCAAAGCTAGGCACCTTGTGAGAAGGTACAAAGCATTCTGGGCATCCAAAGCCCCTATTCTTCCCTCCATCCTCTTCAGGTCGTTCAGCTTTTCTGCGAGGATTACCTCAATGGTACTCGAGCCCAGCACACTGTTGGTGGGAGCGATCACTGGGCCTTCTGGCACCACAGTTCTTACTGCATCTATGATGTGTTGGCTAGATGAGATGATTTCGCACTTTGATCATATCATTACTGACACTAACTTTTTAATAAGTTTAATACTACATAAATATGGGTCAGTAGGCCTCCGTATCTCCGTATAATCCGTATCAACATGTTATCATGACATTAAAACCCTGTAGCATGTAATAATATTGTTCATAATATTCAAGGAATGTAATGTACAACTTTATATACCTAATCTGGCTGAAATTATATATATAATGAACACAGTTTTGTTCTTGTTTTTAAGATTAGGTTGTGGGATTTGGTCAAGTTTCGTTATGTTTGCTTTCATGTTAAAAAATGTGCACACAGTTTGTGTCGAGCTAAAAAATATAGTAAGATCAAAGCTGTACTAGTTAGACCTTATCTCTATGTTGACCATTTGCCTGCGACGTTATTTGTGTTTAACATGAGAATGGCTTAAATTATGAGCACAGCAAAAGCCAGAACCAAGAACTGCCACAGAAAGAGCACCCACAGAACAGTAGATGGACACCAACACTTGTAGCATTAATGCCAACACCTGACACGTTAAGGTTGTCAAATAATTATCAAATGTGCGCTAGGGAGCCGGTCGGCCGAGCGGACAGCACACTGGACTTGTGATCCTGTGGTCCAGGGTTCGATCCCGGACGCCGGCGAGAAACAATGGGCAGAGTTTCTTTCACCCTATGCCCCTGTTATCTAGCAGTAAAATAGGTACCTGGGTGTTAGTCAGCTGTCACGGGCTGCTTCCTGGGGGTGGAGGCCTGGTCGAGGACCGGGCTGCGGGGACACTAAAGCCCCGAAATCATCTCAAGATAACCTCAAGGTAAGTCATATAGGAATGTCAGTGGATGTCATTGTAGAGGAACCTGGAGAAATAGAAGGACTGAGGACATCACCTCAGCAGAGTCTAGCACAGGTAAAGACTAAATTAGAGCTAAGACTATGCACAAGATGTAGAGGCATAAGGCTGCAGCTTCAGGATCTCTGGGATTTTACAAGAACTTACAAAATGATGACTACATTATTCTGTTAAAATGACCTAACAGAAGAACAAATGTTGAGATGTAGGCAAGGCACACATAGAGTCCTTACTTGATATGTTGTATATAATATTTAATATTGTGATGTACGAAACATTTCTACTCCGATGCTGAAATTTGACGAATGTTGAGTGTGTCCCGGCACATTATTGTGCAACATTTTGGAAAGCTTTCATCAATGTAATATTGAAATACCTTCGTGACTGTAACGCACAGAAATGATTTGTATTAATATTAGCAACTGCTGTGTGTTGGATCTCCCCGGAATGAATGGGGAATTATCTTGATTTTAAATCTTCAGTCTTGTAAATAACGGGTAGAAGAGGCCACACTGTCGGCGCCAGCGTTCCCGTAATGCCTATCAAGCAATTATTGACTGTCACATGCAATTACCTCGGTGTTGCGACGCCGAGCCAATCAGTCAATCAACAATCACATAATTGCATACGTTCCTACAGTCCAGGTTGTCAATATCAGCAGCCAATCAGAGCGCGCTGTGCCCTCTACCCTTTAACCGTAGTGTGAGTGTAAGGCCGCGACAGTGGTGACCCAAGGCCCCGACCTGGTGATGGTGGTGACCCAAGGCTCCGACCTGGTGACAGTGGTGACCCAAGGCCCCGACCTGGTGACAGTGGTGACCCAAGGCCCCGACCTGGTGACAGTGGTGACCCAAGGCCGCCACCTGGTGACAGTGGTGACCCAAGGCCCCGACCTGGTGATGGTGGTGACCCAAGGCTCCGACCTGGTGACAGTGGTGACCCAAGGCCCCGACCTGGTGACAGTGGTGACCCAAGGCCGCCACCTGGTGACAGTGGTGACCCCAAGGCCCCGACCTGGTGACAGTGGTGACCCAAGGCCCCGACCTGGTGACCCAAGGCCGCCACCTGGTGACAGTGGTGACCCAAGGCTCCGACCTGGTGACAGTGGTGACCCAAGGCCCCGACCTGGTGACAGTGGTGACCCAAGGCCCCGACCTGGTGATGGTGGTGACCCAAGGCCGCGACCTGGTGACAGTGGTGACCCAAGGCCCCGACCTGGTGACAGTGGTGACCCAAGCCCGCGACCTGGTGACAGTGGTGACCCAAGGCCCCGACCTGGTGATGGTGGTGACCCAAGGCCCCCACCTGGTGACAGTGGTGACCCAAGGCCGCGACCTGGTGACAGTGGTGACCCAAGGCCCCGACCTGGTGACAGTGGTGACCCAAGG